GCTACTTTAACTGGAGCCGACGCCTTCCCTTCAACCACTACTGTTTGCTCCCTGTTGGTCAGGAAAGCCTTTAACCAATTCAGCGTAGGGCATTGGATTCTATAATACTCCAGTTTTGAGATGAGCCTGCCATGGGGGACTTTGTCAAAATCTTTAGTGACATCAAGTATTGCTAAATCTACCTGCCGTTTACTGTTCAGTGCACCAGCTACGACATGGACTGTTAGTATAAGCTGCGTTTCTGTGGATCGTTTGGCTCTGAATCCATGCTGGTAATCCGTCAATATACTGTAACTTTCTAAGTGCTTCATGATGTGGCTATTGATAATATGTTCAAGTAGTCTGCATGATATGCAGGTCAGTGAAACAAGTCTGTAGTTGCTGGGGACCGCTCTATCTCCTTTTATTAAAGATGGCGCATATATTTGCATCCCTCCAGTCTTTAGGGATTTCTGCAGTGTTTAGCGAGGGTTGGAAAATATTGGTTAGTACAGGTGCGATTTCACTAGCTGTCAACTTGAGAAACCACGGTGGTATTTGGTCTGGCCCGTATGCTTTATACGGATTGAGACCTTAAAGCATTTTTCGACACCATCAGTAGAAACTTCTATATGTTCCATTGGTGGAGTACGGGACTGACCTAGAGATGGCATATCTGTGGTGTCTTCCTCTGTGAAAACACTTTTGAACTGTGAACTGAGTACTTCTGCTTTTTTCCCGCTGTCACTGATGATGGTATTTCCCACCTTTAGGGGTGCTACCCCGACAAGGTCTTTCCTCAGACCTTTTATGTACGACCAGAATGTTTTGGGTTTGTCAACTATAGCTGTATGTCTCCCACGTATTTAGAGTGTGCTTGTCTTATGCTTTTCTGAACTCCCTTCCCTTCTCTCATATTTGTTCCGGTCTTCCTCTTGGCCTGTTTTCTTAGCTTTGTTATAGAGGCGCTGCTTCTTACGACAGTGCCTCCTTAGGTTTCTGTTGAACCAAGGCAAGTTGTATCTGCCTTTGTGGTCAAGGGAACGTTCAAGATCAGACGACGGTCAATGAAAATAACCCTTATTTTACTCCGGAATGCACAAGTGGATAAAATGGGTAGGCAAGCAAAATCGGGTGTGGATAACCCAAATATGGAACTAGATAACCCCTAAAGTCAGTTAATGAATAAAGGGTTAATGCCCCGCCCCGACGTGTATATGGTGAGATAATCACCTTGGTCATGTGTGATAACCACCGAATAAAACACCAAGTGAGCGTATCGAACGAGGTGGTTTATGAGGTGGTTATCACACCTGATCAGGGATTATGTCACCATATACACCGGGGATGAGCGAGGCACTAACGTTATTATCATATATCCAAACCTTTGCTGTTTTTTTTTTCATTCACCATTCCTTCAAGTGGTCAAGCTGCTGTTCATTGAAACTAGCAAAATCAGTACTGTAAATCTTATTTTTTAACGATCCACATATATTTGACTTAAGTGGTCAAGATCCACCGCAACTATTTTATGTATCTTATCACTTCTGTGTGATAACCACCGAATAAAACACCAAGTGAGCGTATCGAACGAGGTGGTTTATGAGGTGGTTATCACACCTCATAAACCATAGAACGAGTGCAGAAACGATCACTCAGAGTAATACTTGGGTCGGAATATGACTGTTATCACACGGCCCTGGACACTACTGGACTTAGTAGATTAGATACCAGACGTGATGAACTGTGCCTGAGGTTTGCTCGGTCTCTCACAAGCAGTGAGAAATACCGTAATTGGTTGCCAGCACAAAGGGGAGATGTACATAATAGAACACTAAGGAACAGCACGAAACTGACACAGTTTAAGTGCCGGACACAGCGCATGTTAAACAGTACACTACCCTATTGTGTCCGTCTGCTGAATGACAGTTAAAGTAGTAGAACTCTAAGTCGTGATGATAGTGATTTTATTTAATTTTATAGTGATTTATGTCTTTGTTATTTCTGATTTGGAATGCATAATGCTGATAAGCATACGATTTTAGTGGAAAAAACCGCAATTCAGCATTTTTGCTGCAAGGGTTTTTGTTGTTGAATAAACCATTCTCTCTCTCTTCTGCCCCACCACCATAGCAAGCTCGACGTTATGATACACTCACAATCACGCTTCATTCCTTGACCAGGACACGCATATAATTGTGTACTAATGATTCAATCAGGAACAAGCAAAACATTACAGTAACTACTCTTCCTGAAAAACAATTATCATACAGAAAGTGTGTGTCGCCATTTTATTTACTAAATGTCGTGTGTAAGTATACATACCACAGTTATATTGAAACAGTGGCGTCGTTACGCTTTGAAATTTCGCAGCTTATTTTCACAAGGGTATTTACAAATGTATACATAGAAGATTACATTACGATTTAAAAGTTTCATCTTGTGCTGCAAGGAGACAATATCACAAACAATGAGACTACTAAATTCCCAAGAGTGCAGACAATATCAAGCAAGATGACGTCACACCACTAATAATTACAATTTTACAAACGAGTTACAAAGTACGAGAAAGCGGCACCCATCTGCTAAATTCTGAGCGCAACACGAGCAAGTCTTACAAACTTTGATGAAATATTTTGAAGTCTACGCGCCGGTGCGATATTTTGTTTACTAGTGTGCCCTACTTACCCCGTACGTTATGTCGTGCCCTCTCCACTAGATGACATGCAGGCAAAGTTAAAAATGTCCTTAGACTTGATGAAATTCAAACAAAACGTGTTTCCTATACGTCATCAGCGGCCATATCGGTCGATGCTGATTGGTTCCGGTGTTTATGGGATTTAATGACCTCTGGGTGTGTTATGGTGTCATAACCAATAGCAAATGGGGACCTCTGATTGGTCAACGTTATCTGGCTATATGATAATATTCTTTATCCAATATAGCATATAACTGTTATCAGTAGAATACTAGTTTTATACATTACGGTAAGAAGATCTAGTTATTTACATCAACACGTCTCTTTTTTTTAGAGTAACAATACTAGGAATATGAAACAGAAAAGATACTTTTAGACAAACGTGACAAGCGTATCAGTATATGGGTGTTTGAATTGTCAGATATTGAAGATACAGACAGTTATACGTAATAATAATAATAATAATAATAATAATGATAATACGCCAAAAAACGTTACTCAAGCAACTGGATATATATAATTTTGGAAACTGCTTTTTTAGTAACTGCTTTTTGGCGTATCTTATTACTTGGATGTGTAACCTTCATCGACGAATAATAATAATAATAGTATTGCAATGCAATTAACACTTACAGTAATTTTCCATGCACTTTAAGATAACATTATTTCAGCAATTCACCGTTTGCAAGTAAAGCCCGTAGACGAAATATGAGAAATAAAGTCGGATTTTTGGAATAAAAATTTTCTTACATCAAAATAATCAAATATTGTATTGCGGATTTATAATTAGATTAAGCTATGTCAAAACAATGTTTTTTTGCGGCCAGTCCTAAATGCCTTTTATATGTAAGGGTGCTTCTAGAATATCACATTGACAACAAAAACAACTAAGGTGAAACTAAAAAATATGTTCATCATCAAGGACATGCCTGCAGACGACGTATAAAATTACATGCCGATTAAACGAAGGGAACCGTGTGTTTTAAGCGACGGTCACAACCCGCCGTACGTGCTTCTGCGTGCTGTCTACGTGCAAAAACGTGGGCAAACGTAGGGCATCCGTGCGTGGTGAGTACCGCCTCCGTACGGAATCCTACGGATTTGGGAGCACGCAGACACGCCGTAGAACTTTAAGTGCATGTAAAACTTTTTCTACGTGCGGTCTACGGATTCACCACCCGTGCGTGCAAGTACGAGCGACGTGCGTGCCCCGTACGTGCCGTGCGGAAGAAGCACGTGTGAGTACGGCCTCCTTACGGTAAAGTTGCAATCGCACAGAGATCGTACGTTGTAAGCACGTACAACTCACTTACCACTTGCGCAACGCACAATGCACGCAACCGCTCACGGCCAGACGTAACGTGCAGACCACACTCTTACACCTTGCGCAACCGTGCGATTGACGTGCGTCGACGCCACTCCTTCCGTACGTTTTCAGAAAAAACGTAACAGACGTAGCCTCCCAAAAAACGTACGGACAAAAAGCACGCACGGCGGGTTGTGACCGTAGCTTTAGCTGTAAACGCGAAAAACCGACTGACCACAATACTCCTGCAGGAGGGATTCCTCCTTCACGGAGTAAAAAGTGTCAAGAAAAAAAAAGATACTAGTATACCTGTACAGATAAAATGGGGTCCGTTTGGTCCCCATATCTGGGCCATAGGGCCTTATCGTATCGACAACCGTGCCTACCAAGTTCTATGTTTGAATGGGATAGGGTAAGGATTAGGCACAGTTCTGGATAGTCTCAGCTTAGCCAAGCGTAGATTTGTCCCAGGCACGGTTCTGACTATCCAGTACGTATACGGTGCCTGAGCATGGCAACGGATAAAGCACGCTTCTGGATACAGCAGACAAGAATATACAAAAACAAGAAATCTAAGATTCCAATATAATGAATAATGTTTAAAACGACGGTGAGTGTCAATTTCAGACACAACATTAACAGTTATTGTACACGACATGGAGAAGGGTGATGCCACAATCATAATACACAATACAAGCAAACACACCATTCTTCAAAAACAGTGTATAGTTACCGTAAGCTAAATGATCTCAATTTGGAACAACGGGGTTTGTACCGAGGCCTTCCCATCGCTATTTCAGTTAAACTACTGAAGAAAAAAGCTCTTGAAAAAAAGATGATTACTACGCCACATACAACACGGGGCGCCGGGTGCCATACCGTTTCACTGCATCACCAAAAGTGCAGCTAAAATGCCCCAAGTCATCATGATTCTTCGGGACATCAATAACAAATCTCGGACGGAAATTCAAATCCATCGCCCCCCCCCCCCAGCAAAAATTCATCCTTCGTATGAGGTTAAGGAAGAACCATGTGGCGTGGAAAGATAGTTACGGTGGATGGAGACCCTGCACTAGTCACCACCATCTCTCCATCTGGTCCCATAGCGATACCAGACGGGTCTTCAATGTTCGCGATGGTACGGACAAACTCCCCACGGTTTGTGAACATGTCTACCCGGTTGTTATTATAGTCTGCTACGATGATGCTACCCGACTTGTCCCGGCAAATACCTTTGAAATATTTCAGTTGGCCCACACCCCGTCCGGCAAATTCAAATATCTTGACTCCGGAGTGACTGTACATCTCAACAGCTTTATACGACCTTAAAAGCGTAAGCAGTATATTTCCCTCACTGTCCGATATGACTCCTCCGATCATACCTCCCTCACTACCTGATGACGCTTTAAAACTCCGATAGAGAGAGCCGTCTGGATCAAACATCTTTACTGTACTTCCCTGTCCGACTATAATTTTATTGTTGCGCACGTCTATCGCAATGACAGGATCGTAAAAAGGTTTCGTGGGGTCTACGTCGAACTTTTTCATGGCCTGACCACTTCTACTGTACTTTACAACCTGCACATGTCCCTCATCCGCACCGGACTCCAATATAACCCCCACTACCCACAGGTGGCCGGGCTGTATACCAATAGCAACATCAAAGGGCACGATAAAGACATTTTCACCCGGCAGTGCCGTTTGAAAGAGGCGGAGATAGTTCCCATTTATACTGAAGACTTGGACTCCTTTGGTGGTGGTTACAAATACCTCATTGTCAGCAGAGACCGCGACTCCGTTCGCCATCACGATAGGTTCTTTTCCATTTCCTCGAATGGTAATAACGTTCTCCAACTTCCTGTCACCACTCTCTAGGAGTAATAAAAAAAAACGTATTTCCCATATTTGAATGTGGAGTATTTACATAAAAACCTGCACACATACATGTACGGACGTGCACACACATACACACACACACACACACACACACACACACTATGCACACACACACGCATGCACGGACGACAAACACACTCACACAACACACATGCATACATGTAAATAACACACCCTCCCACGCACTTACACACACAAAGACTGCAATTCACGCCTTGTTGTAAAATGTTAAGCCGTATATGTTGACAACAGTTGCAACAGTATTAACAAGAAGACCTCATACGTCCATGAAATATGTAGAGTTTTTGTAAATATCTATTTCTTGCATTTGTCACATTAACCCTACCTAGACCGGGGGGGGGGGGCAACAATTCTCTATCATTGGAATAAGATAATAATTTTTGTGTTGCCATGGCAACGGGTTTCTGGCAGGCATTTTTTGCTAAATTTAGTACTTTTTGTTTCAACAATAGCATTTTATGAGTTTTAGGTCAAGTTACTTATGGTTTCTAATATTAATAACATCCCATATATTTTTATGTAAATTTTGTCATTAGATATGCATTATTTATGCTAATTTGATGACGTCATTGGCCAAAATCTAAGATGGCGGACAATATCATTAGAACAGGTATATACAGGTTATTTTCATTAAAATTTCATCAATACTTCCATTTCTTTTTCCAAAAAAGGTTTAAATGAAGGTCTTTAGTATGTTTACAATGTATTTTAGGCTTTATCATGAAAAAAAAACTATTTTTGAAAATTCAAGATTGATGATCCAAGATGGCGGATATCTTAGATATGCATGACGTCATTTTATGACGTCACCGGTGTTGCTACGGGCAACATAAGACTTAGTACACCCTAATATTCTGTCATAAACACTTTTGGTACAGTTATATTGAATACCAATTAGTTTTCAGTGAAAAACCTATCTAGACGGTTTTGGCCAATAAAATCACATTAATGACGTCATAATGACGTCATATTACGTCATAACGACATGAAAATTGTAGATATGATAAATTTTTACTAGTACACCATCCTCTGAAAATTTGTTAG